TCGTTACTTTCGTTGCAGTTGTATGTCTTAAATGTAATTTGGGTTAACTTCCTGTTTTATTTAGATTTTGAAGGCGAGTTTAAGCTTTTGACAGGAAGAGAAAACTTAATATCTTCTACATATAAAGACGGAGAAAGTAAAGAACAAAGTCTGAAAATATCAGTACAGTATCATAATACTTTATCATAATTGTTTTTGTGACTTTCGTTGCAGTTGTATGTCTTAAATGTAATGTAAATGTTGCCTTCGTGTGGTTCGGGGCCATCTTCGTGCGAAATTCACAATTCCATATTCGTGTGTCCATCGGGTGTCAATTTCGGGACAGTGTGACAGGGGCTTTATGAACAAGAACATTTAGACTATACTGCAGTGAATGCTTAAAGAATGAACAAAGCCATTTATTCCTTTTTAATTGAATGTTTTTTTTATGTGTCTTTTATGTGTTTCAGGTTCTCAGGAGCGTCAGGATAAACTGAGAGAGATGGGCTTTGTCGACATTCTGCACAAACTCACCCAGGCCTCGGACCCCAACCTCTGTGACAGGTGGGCCAGGAGAGCAAAATCAAGAAAGTTATCAAAGCCATAGTTTGTCTTTTTACAGAATGGGGTTGTACAGTATGTATGGAGATACTTTTCAGTCAGCGCATGACTTCCCTCGACAAAAGAGCAATGGGATTCCTCCATAGGATTTTAGAAAATAGCTCCAAATAAGATCTGTGGAAAACGAACCTGTTTGATAAATGCATGGTATTCAGCCGGATAATCTCCACATGTCTACCCTACTTTTTAAATGTTCGAATCCCAAATCTAATGGCCAGAAGCTAAATGCTACCGTAATGCTATCAAGGAACTACAGGCGAGTCCAGCAGCACGACTTCGGCGCCACACCAACTTAAGATCCATATTCAAACGTACAGATTCTAAATGGTTCAAGTTGAAGCGTTTGTTTGAACAGTCTGCAGGAGGCAGGGACTTGCTTTCAAGCAGAGCAGGGCAAACAAACTTAGAGGAGTGTTTACGTGTTCGGCGTAATGACGTACAACGTCCTCCACAACTTCTGTAGTCCTATTCAGCTCTGAGGGGCTCTGTAAGGAAGTCTGAAGGAAGGGGCAGATTTTTTCCGGTTGTTTACTTTCAAATTCTTACGCACTCGAGCTGGTTTCTCCATTCTTACCTACCCTACCTTTTAAGTACAGTAACAAAGTATTTGTACTCCACTACTTCCCCCCCTCTGCTTTTTAATAACTGGTCTGATTGTGTCCCTCTCTCTCAGGGCGAAGACGGCGATGCAGCAGTACCTCGCGTGACCACAGGGGGCAGAGATCCACCACTGCCAGCCTCACTAACAATTGTCGGGAGGAAACCGGCCATCGGCTCTTTTTGTTTCAGCTTTTTTTTGCACAAAGACACCTTTTGTGGACCTGTGGCTGGCCTCCCCCCCCCCCTCCCTCTCTCCCCTCCACCCACACCACCACCACCTCACTCTAGACCTCACCTCGGAGACTCTGTGGTTGTTGGGAGATTAACGGTTAGGAGGGGTTTGCTTGTTGGTTTTCTTTCAACAATGAAGTGATATTTTTCCTTTTGGGACTTTGTGAGTTTTGGTTGGCGTGCGACAGCCTTTTGGACTCCTTGCGCTCTGAGAGAAATGGACTACGAGGTTTTTGAGCACGGCTGTCGGACAGCAAAGCTTCCCGGTTTTATTTCCTTTTTAATTAATATTACTATTAATAATAATGTTTCCTTCGGGCGCCGCAAGCAAGGACACATTTGGAAAAATACAGACTTGCCTATTTTGGAATTTTGGGTGTTTTTTTCATTTTTTTGTGGATACATACCTCGTAAATATATAAATATATATAAATATAAACATAAATATATATTTTTGGATTTGTATTTTCCCCTGTTTTGTTTCCATTCATGCTCTCTGAACCCTGCCAGTGAATCCGCTGCAGTCTGATTATGGAAATGACTTTGAAGGTGGATTCTTTTTGAGGTATAAGGAAAGGAAATGTGATTCTCCTTGAATTTCTGTTTTTGATTTTCTCACCGTTGTGGTTCTGCGTGCACTGTCGCCCGTCACTTCTGTCCAACATCCTTATAGTCCCAATGGGAAATGTAGATCCAGAGAGCTCACTCTGACCTGCCCGGTTACTTACTAACAGGCATGAGTTCACACAGCAGAGATAAGAGGGTTCATGTGTCCTCACTGCTCTGTTTAACAACGTCAGCCCCTCTTCTGTGTGTGTTTGTCAAAAAGGGATTTCTCTCTCTCTCTCTCCTCTGAAGTGTTTTGGAGAAGCGAGGACAGAGTGGATGTGAGGCACGTCCACAGCAGCAGAATCAAGTGCTTCATTTCTCCCTCTCATTATATACTTTCCTCTCCCATCAGGATCTTTCTAGACTGTTGTTCCCTGACATTTCAATCCTTACTGAAACTCTGATAGAATGAATGTTACCATTGAAAATATATGCAGACTTGAAGAAGGATCTCCTCTTGTGTTGTCTTATTTCTTCTTCTCTGATAAATGTCTAAAATGCTGTGTGTGTGTTTTACATTTGAAGTGTGTGTAGTACTAACTTAAACCTCAGTCTAAAGCAGGGGTCGGCAACCCCCGGCACGGCACCGTAACCAGTGGCACACTCGGAATACGTGGAATAAGTGTACAAAATATTTAAATTGTATTTTCGGATCCTGAACGAGACCGCCGCCAGAGCGCGTCTCCCCGTTACCTGCAGAAGGAAGCCATGCACGCAACGCAGCCCCGCTCTCTTTAACTCCAGGTGACTTTCTGCCGCTTTCCTCCGTGGTGCAGTGCTGATCGTTTCACCACGGAGGAAAGCACTTCACTAATTGCAGTACCCATAAGGAGCTGTACAAATGCCGCAGTTTTTGCGTGGCTGTGTTTTCAGTTGAAAGCCCAGTGGCGATCTGCTCATCTCTCATCGAAATAATATGCTACAAAGGGGCGGACTGGCCATCTGTGTGTTCTGAACTTTCCTGTCGGCCCCAGACCGTAGTCGAGGAGGGCAGAAGCAACAAGCTTCAGGTTTAATAACCAACTTTAGCTTAAATGACTGGAGAGAGGCGAGCTCTTCTTGGGAGGCCGTTGCATTTATTTAGCTGTTCTTCTGTTTCTTTTAAATGGCACTTCATATGAAAAAGGTTGCTGACCCCTGCCTATAGGCACCTGGTTTTGGTTGAGTATGTTATGGGTTTTCTCAGTTGCTTCNGCGATCTGCTCATCTCTCATCGAAATAATATGCTACAAAGGGGCGGACTGGCCATCTGTGTGTTCTGGAGAATCACAGAACGGACGATCGTCCTTATTATTATTATGCCGTTTAAACCAATTATTTAAATTTGTTTGTTAAATTCGGCATCATGGAAGTTGCGCTGACAGGTCCACACACTGCACCCCGCAGCACTCCATATCAAAAAGGTTGCCGACCCCTGGTCTAAAGCATATACAGTACTCTGTGCCTCATTTATTTCCACTGTGAGGAAGTCACAGAGGTTAATACAAGTTTCACGGCAACATATTAACCCAGAGGCTTTTTTTAAAGAGGCCCCATTACGCTTTTTTATATAGGTTTCAGTGCATGTAAATGGTCTGCTAAGGCTGAAAACCCAAAAATCCCTCCAGTGGGAGTTTCTCTCCAGGAAAGAAAACACATGAAAGTTGTTTCGCAATATGTTTTACTTATGTTTTAGGTCTAGGTTTCTCTGTCATCGTGAGACAGTGCAAGTGCATCGGTGATTAGAGTCAATTAAATGAAATCAAGGATAATCCAAAAGATAGTACGTAAAGAAAGGGCAATAAAAAACAAAATGCAGATATTTACAGTTGCGAGAAAAAGTATGTGAACCCTTTGGAATGACCTGGATTTCTGCATAAGTTGCTCATAAAATGGAGGAAGCCACTGCTGTCCAGAAAAAACATTGCTGCTCGTTTGACGTTTGCAAAAGAGCACCTGGATGTTCCACAGCACTACTGGCAACATATTCTGTGGACAGATGAAACCAAAGTTGAGTTGTTTGGAAGGAACACACAACGCTATGTGTGGAGACTCCACACATAGCGTTGTGTGTTCCTTCCAAACAACTCAACTTTGGTTTCATCTGTCCACAGAATATGTTGCCAGTAGTGCTGTGGAACATCCAGGTGCNAGCAACCCGCGAAACACACACTCACACACACACAGACACACACACACACACACACACACACACACTGAGCAAATAAGCCAATGGAACAACACTCAGTGAGTCAGTGCCTGCATGATCCATTAGTAACTCTCAACACACACACAGAAAAAAACCTGCTGACCCACAAAGACAACAACTCCGAGACCTCTGTCTGCAAAACACCCCGATACAGTTACAGAAGAAGAACTCATTTATACTATTGTTATCGCCAGAGAGGGCAAGAGTACACACATCCTTTACTCAAGTAGAAGTACAGATACTCGTGTTTAAAAATACTCTGGTGAAAGTAGAAGTACTGACTAAACTTCTTTACTCAAGTCAAAGTAAAGAGGNGGATCATGCAGGCACTGACTCACTGAGTGTTGTTCCATTGGCTTATTTGCTCAGTGTGTGTGTGTGTGTGTGTGTGTGTGTGTGTGTGTGTGTGTGTGTGTGTGTGTGTGTGTGTGTGTGTGTGTGTGTGTACGTGTGAACGCTCGGCCATCACATTGCCTGTATCCATCCCTCTCCTATCCACTATCTCTCTCCAGTTCTTTGGTTGCCCCAGACAACCACATCTCTGGTCCCTGATTGGCCGGCTCCATGGCGATGCTGCCTGTCAGACAGCTGTTTGGTTGAAGAGGCCTCCGTGTGTTTCCATCTAGTTTCAGTTTTGTACACATTTCAAGAGGAACCTTTCAGTAAATCAAAGCAGAGAAAAAAGAGTGGGAGGAGAAGACACCAAGTTTGCTAAAGTTTCTGATATGAAAACGAATGTATGGCAGCCAATAGAAGCATTTTTCCATGTAAGGAAATACAAAATGCAGATGTTGTTCTGGTAGTTCACTTTAAGGTGGGCTGAAATTGGCATGCTATTTTATCAATATGATATTATATACGTTTATTCAAAACTATTTGAATAAAACGTAACAAAATGTCTGGATCGTGTTGTATTTCCATTGATGGGATAATTATGATATCCATCTTGTTCGAAAAAGTGATAGAAACAGAGCCTGACAAAAAGGTATATTTGATCAAATCTGTAATCAAACAAGTGATTCCAACTGATTGAGTGATTGAGTGAGTCACGTTTCTTATCGTGTAACTGCGGTGTAAGTGTTCCCTCCTGCTCTAAGTGAACTGTCTCCGAGTCTTCCTGTGTTCAGCGCTGTAACTGAAATCATTACGGCTATTTGCAGCTAACGTTTCATTGTTGATAGCCACTTATAAACCCAACCAGGGCAGATCGATATATCGGCGGCTGTGAATGGTTGTTGTTGTTGAAGGGAAGGAGATATTGGGTCTCATTTATCAGAAGGTAATGGGATTTGAAGGCTCAGAGAGGGAATTTGATACTTGGAGCCAAACCACACCACTCCTCTCTTCCTCTTGGATGCACTGCACCACATTTTACCCGTACAATTAGCTAAAAAGCATTTGAGTGAATCAGACGTATTGCTCATATTGTGGAGGTTGAGTAACAGCCTGTTCTCTCCTGTCTCTCAGACCCTCTTTCTGTATTACAGGGTCTGCTGTTGTTGCTCTCGATGAAGCTTATAAACATATGAGTAATACTGTAGCTGTGTGACTGAAAGAAGAGCTAATATCATAGAGCCTGATGATGCAGAGAACTGGGAAATCTATGTAATCCAGATGTGATAGATGCTGAGTTAGGTGGGGTTTGGGCGAGTTTAAATGTTTAAACAAATGTTTAATTTACATTTGTCCTAGAAAAGCATGAGCAAAATGTAAACCTAATTTTTTAATTACATTTGTATCACAAAAAATGATGGACACTTCCATTGTTTGAGTATTTTCAAAAACGAATCATATATTTCATTTATATTGTTGGGGAATGAGTTAAAGACAGATATAAGGAATTGTGTTGAATTTAGTTCTGTATTTCTTTTAAACCCGGAAACATGTCCCGGGTCAATTTGGCCCGAACATTACCAAAGATGTCAATGTGAAACAGGTGAAATACTGAGAAATACATGTATGGAAAGCATGGCTGAACTTCTGGAGAAATACTCTTGGGTATCATCTTGCATTTGGAGTCAATTGGTGATAATGTTCTGTTTTATCTACTCTTTTGAAAGAGCCATGGGGAAGATCCACACATAATCCAAATGCTGATTTTACTTTGAGACAATCAATTGTTTTGGTCCATATCTCCCATGCATTGGAACATGTATGGTAAACAAGGAAGACGTTTTGGACAACGCTCGAGGGACCAGCTTTTAATTCAATGAGTCCATTTGGCGGATATTGTTTTGTTTACTTAATCTAGTCTTTAGGAAATACTCTTTTGCAAGATCCAAAATGGCAGCATTGGTTAGAAAAACAACACATCCATCCAAATGCTGGTTTGCCCAATTGATTACCTTTGTATACATCTTTTGGTTGGACAGCATACTGTTAAATACATTCATGGTAAACAGCTACTCTTGGAAATACAGTTACCACATACAGTTATAAAAGGGTTCACGTTTGTAATTCATTTATTAATCAGGTTGTGAACACTTTATAAATCATTAATAAGCTTTTATAAGCCATGACACAAACAGGGCAACTGTGACCGGTTGCTTGCCAAATGGTGAGCCCACATGTATGCTACGTCTTACAGTATATTGGCTACCTAGCTTACTTCGTCTCCTTCATCAGCAAGCATCCTTGGTATCTGTTGTTCACTGAGTTGATTCTCGCTAAGTAGCCACTATAAGGCTTAGTCATCTTGCCAAATAGTGAGCCTACATTTATCTGTACTGCTAAGCGTTATATTGGCTAGCTTACTTCGTCCTCTTCATCAGCCAGCATCCTTGTTATCCAACCCAGTCTCACGGCATGTCGTGTTATAGTCACAAAATTAATTTAATCTATTGATTCGTTTTCACCAACACGATTTTCGCATTTTTTTCGTGTCACACAGAACGATTTTAAAAGCAATGTATTTCTATTGGTAGTATGTTTCGTGCCTGCATCACGTTTTTTTGTCCGGTCGGGTCTTGGAATACCAGAAGCTGTGGTTCATAAAAACATTTTCTTACTCAATATCTTACCCTAAGCCTAACCCTTTTATTTTAAATTGTATAATGTCGGAGTTTTTTTGCCATCCGCGAGGAAAAGAAATGGAGTTCAGAGCCTCAGAATACTGAAATCTGTATTTGTTTTAATCTGTTTTTCCTTCTAATTTGTGATTATTTACGTTGCTTTTAAAATCGTTCTGTGTGACACGAAAAAAATGGCGTGTTGGTGAACACGAATCAATAGATTAATTTCGTGACTATAACATGATATGCCGTGAGACTGTGTTGTGTTATCTGTTGCTCACCGAGTTGATTCTCGCTAAGTAGCCAATATAAGGCTTAGTCATCTTGCCAAATAGTGAGCCTGTGTTGATGTATGAAAACTATGTTAGAACCATACTTGTCAACCCTCCCGATTTTCGCGGGAGACTCCCGATTTTATTGCCCTCTCCCGGTTTCTTCCCGGGGTCATATTTCTCCCGCATTTCTCCCGATTTCTGACTAAATCAGATTTACTCAGGACTGTTTCCACTCGGACTTTAATACAGCTACACCATTGTTTGGTTTCCATGGTAACACGTCTATTGTCTTTAGTAGCGCGCGCAACTCAAAATCTGAGAGGGTGAGGAAAATAGTCACAGAAAACAGAACAAGAATCGACAACTACTCTACTCTCTGCTCACTCCTTTCCTGTAAAATACAGGTCCAGCCCACACATATGCTCCATCAAGGACGGTGCTACAGGCCGCAAGGCAGTGCACTTAGAACTACAATAAGCATGTTAATGTTACCCCCCCCCCACCATTTTGCAATGCTCCCGATTTCTAAGGTCTGAAGGTTGGCAAGTATGGTTAGAACTGGTTTATAAATGGTTCTTAATGATTAATAAAGTGTTTACAACCTAATTATTAACCCTTAATGAATCCTGTATAAGGGTAGTCTTATTGTACAGTGGTACCAGTTAGTCACATGGCCAAATGCTGATCCTGCAGCAAATCAATAAAAAGTTCACGCCATGACATGTTGGATTCTTGAATTAAAGGGAATTAGGCCTGGGAAGTCCTTCATGTTGATGTTTGAGAAGGTGTGGAAACCTTTCGAAAGCTCTTATAATTGGAACATCTCTCCAGAGCAGCATTAAGAGTTGTTAACGGACCTTTTGGTATTTATTTTTCTGAGAAAGGCGTCTCACCTCTTCGACTTGATGAGGCACAAACCGAGGATAATGTTTCCTCTGAGAGCAGCACAAAAACCAGACGTCTTACAAAACAACACTTCTTTATTTGAACAGTATGTAATCCTGGCAAAGTGTGTATGTAACAACAGTCTTTAATTATTAAAACATCTGAAAGCCAACCACCTCCAACAGGGCGGGCATCCATCCGTCAGCTCCCATCAGCCCTCAATCCTCCGCCCCCCACAGCTCAAAAGCAGGCACATTCCTCATGCAAAAAAAAGCTGGGACATGCACTTTAAAACCCCTTTTGTGTACCCAAAGACAAAAACACCCCACCCCCAAAAAACCCAGAGTCCTGCTTTGTGTTTCAGTTTCAAGAATCCAAGTCCTTTGCTTCCGTTACAGAAAATAGAAACCAGAAATATGACTGTCTATACTACAAGTAACCGTATGGTGCACAAAGCAAATAAACAAACCCCTGTAGTGATGCATCCTGGGTATTGTAGTTCTGAGGGTTCAAGTGGTGTGTGTGTGGTGTGGTGTGTTTGTGTGTGTGTCTTACTGGGCATGTGTGTGTCTCTTACTGGGCGTGTGTGTGTTCTAACTGTGTGTGTGTCTGTGTGTGTGTGTGTGTGTGTGTGTGTGTGTGTGTGTGTGTGTGTGTGTGTGTGTGCGCGTGTGTGCTACATAACAATCGGGAAGGTAGACCTTTCTCTCCTAGAAATATTATAATATTTCCTCGTCATCAATACAAATAAATAAATTCACAGCCTGAATAAATAAATAAATTACATTTTAGGTAAAGGTGCGTTAGGTAGGTAAAGTGTTCTCTGTAAATGGCTTTCCGTGTTAATTTTGATCCGAATGCTAACCAGGAAAAGGACTTTAGGGAACTTTAATGCAGAGAAGGCACGAATGGCTGGATGGCTAAAGCTCAGGAGTGATGTGAGTCTGCTGTACAATCTGAGAGGCTGCTTGTAAACAGTAAAGGAGGTGGGAAACAGTTATATATGGGGGCTGCTTATGATATTTCTGTCCATAATTTGTCTTTGCCACACCCAGCACGCTTCAGGTCTCAAAAAGAAGCACTAATGCTCCGACGTTTCACTCGAATGTGTACTTTAAACTTCTTTAACAGGCAGAATGTGGATGTTTCTTGGAGAATGAACGATGTGTGTGTGACTGACAAGATGGTTGGATTTGAAGCTGAGTGTTTTCCTCCAGCATCCTAGAGGCAGATTTCTAATTTGAAATGCAAAAAAGAATCGAATTAATGAAGCAAACTGGCTCTGAAAGGTGAGTTTACATTCCCAGTCCCAGTGTGGTGATTATCTGACGTGTTTCCCACTGAGATATGTGTTTGTAGTCACTGCGTTTTAAGAAGTTAAATTATATAATCAGCTAAATTTGACTTTAAAACATGACTTTTGGTCAATTTGTGTATGTGGGACGGTTGCTAATGCTAATGCTACTGAAGTGTTGATACTATAAGACATTTTGTGCTGTTCTGTGATCAGTGTAGAAAAGAAAAAGTCCTTCACACTGATTGGCTGACGGCTGCAGGCTTTATGTCTCCGCCTTGCAGGTGTTTCTATTTCCTGTGTGTGC